TTTCCAAAAGAACTTCTTGTTGGTCCAAAGGTCCATAATCAGAGGTTTTTAGGTCCATTCTTTCCTGTAGAATCTCTGTGGCTTTATCATAAAAACTAAGTAGATTTGTTACCCAGGATCTTCCTGTTCGAAAACCATACTGTCTGTCCGTTATTATGTCATTAATCGCCAGGTGTTCTACCCATTTGGTTTTCACTATTTTTTATAGTGTTTTAACAACCACGCTTGTTAATGTTTCGAGTCTACAATTTAGAGGGTCTTCTCGGCTACCATTTTTATACACTAGAACTATGTTTGTCTTTTTCCATATATTTGCTAAGATTCCTCTTCATACGGATGTTTGGAATGTTAACTGGAGTGGAATGCACATTCTCGCAGCACACAAGATGAAACTCAATCTGGTCCAACTGCTTTATGTTGTCAGAGATAGATAGGGTGTGTGTGGACAAAGATGGGGAGGGTGTGTACATTTTTACAGTGATGGACAATGTGTGTAGTGAAAATTATTATAGTGATGTTGCGAGAGTGGGAAGGCATACTGTGGGGTTTACGAGGAGGGTGTGTATTTGGGGACGATTGGGTATGTGGGTGGAGACTCAGAGGGTGTATATGGGCAGAGTTGAGTAGGATGTTTGTGTGGGGAGAGATGGGGAAGATGCATTTCCGGGGAGGCACCTGCAAGGGTGTGTGATGGGAGATGGGGAGGGTGTATGAGGGCCGGAGACAGGGAGGTGTGTGTTGGATCCGTAAGATCCGTAAGGATGTGTTGGAGAGGCCTGGGATCGACCTAAGCATTGCTGGGTACCCCATAACTATATCTATAAGAGAGAGAATATGGGAAGGAGGTTTTGATTAGCCTCAGGTAACTTTCGATGTTGAATTGTGATTGTATGAGAGACGCCATATGGTGATATGGGTCAACTCCCCCAAGCCTCTTCTTAAGTAGGATTGGTTCCTATTGCGACAACCTGAAATGTGGGTTTGGTTGAACATAGTGTTAACATATATTCCAGAAGTTTTCGACAACTAATCAACGACGATAACATTGATTAGAGGGCCAACATTACTCAGATATGTTTTTGCCGTCTGAGAGAGAATGAGAAGGGGAGAGAATGAGAGAACAGTATAATGAGAGGATAGGAAGGAGGCTGGGAGAGAGGGATATCATGAAGGTGGGAGACTGGGAGGTATGAACAATGGAAGGGTGAATAAGGGAGGGAGGGAGGGTGAATGTGATGTATGGAGGAAGAATTGAAAGAACAGAAGGAGACTAAAAGAGAGAAGGCAGGGAGAGAAAATCAGAGACTCGTCACTGTTGTGTACCCCATTTATCTATAAAGAGAGAATGTCTGTTTATCTGACTAAGGTTTCAAGCCAGATCCCAGGGTTTAGCCTCACACAACTTTGTATGGTGATTGGTGATTCTATGGAGAGTGCCATAAGGTAGTCAGGACTGGCCCATATACCATCCTTGTATAGGAATCGGCCTCTTTTCCCTATTCACGAATTCGGTATATATGAAGTAAGTAATCGAAATCTGTAAAGTTTACTATTTGTTTAAATATTAGTGGATTCAGATACTGACATGCAAAACGAATGTTCAGATGATAGATTCATTAGATTTTTATTCTGAGTACAGCCTTTTGACTACAGCTATGTAGATAATATGAAGCAGAAATGGTTACAGTGATAAGGAGATATTGGGTTAGTGTATGTGGGGTGTCCTCAATAAACTCAGCAAAATCCAGGCTGCCAGGCTTGGTAAGTGTTGTCAACTATATCGTCGCTGCTCCTGGTCTTCAACCCATTCATACACATGTGTAAACACTTCTATTGGGTTCATAATTTAAAAGAAATCCTAACAAACTAATTCACATCCATCTGGGTCACAATGGGTGGATGTGTTTGTGGAAGACAGGGTGGGGTGTGGGGGGGGGAAGATGGGGAGGGAGTGGCGGGAAAGATCGGGAGGGTAAGAAAAGAGCCAGGGAGAGAGTGTTGGGGGAAACAGGGATTCTGAGGGGAAAGACACTGGAAGTAGTGGGAGTTATAACTTATCCAGGCCATTTGGCTTTTCCGATGGCCGGGGTGGGGCATAGTATTTTCTTCCTGAAGTGTGACCGAGCACTGAAGAGTTTTAAAGTGTTTCAGAGCACTTTAGAGTTTTAAAGTGTGACCGAGCACTGCAGAGTTTTAAAGTGTGACCAAGCAGTGCAGAGTTTTAAAGTGTGACCGAACACTGCAGAGTTTTAAAGTTTGACCGAGCACTGAAGAGTTTTAAAGTGTGACCGAGCACTGGAAAGTTTTAAAGTGTGACTGAGCACTGGAGAGTTTTAAAGTGTGACTGAGCACTGGAGAGTTTTAAAGTGTGACCGAGCACTGGAGAGTTTTAAAGTGTGACTGAGCATTGGAGAGTTTTAAAGGGTGACCGAGCACTGGAGAGTTTTAAAGTGTGACCGAGCACTGGCAATTTATAAGTGTGACTGAGCACTGAAGAGTTTTAAAGTGTGACCGAGCACTGTAGAGTTTTAAAGTGTGTCAGAGCACTGGAGAGGTTTAAAGAGAGACCGGACACTGGAGAGTTTTAAAGTGTGACTGAGCACTGGAGAGTTTTAAAGTGTGACTGAGCACTGGAGAGTTTTAAAGTGTGACTGAGCACTGGAGAGTTTTAAAGTGTGACTGAGCACTGGAGAGTTTTAAAGTGTGACTGAGCACTGGAGAGTTTTAAAGTGTGACCGAGCACTGGAGAGTTTTAAAGTGTGACTGAGCACTGGAGAGTTTTAAAGTGTGACTGAGCACTGGAGAGTTTTAAAGTGTGACTGAGCACTGGAGAGTTTTAAAGTGTGACTGAGCACTATAGAGTTTTAAAGTGTGACAGAGCACTGTAGAGTTTTAAAGTGTGACCGAGCACTGTAGAGTTTTAAAGTGTGACCGAGCACTGGAGAGTTTTGAAGTGTGACCGAGTACTGGAGAGTTTTAAAGTGTGACCGAGCACTGGAGAGTTTTGAAGTGTGACCGAGCACTGGAGAGTTTTAAAGTGTGACCGAGCACTGGAGAGTTTTAAAGTGTGACCGAGCACTGGAGAGTTTTAAAGTGTGACCGAGCACTGGAGAGTTTTGAAGTGTGACCGAGCACTGGAGAGTTTTAAAGTGTGACCGAGCACTGGAGAGTTTTAAAGTGTGACCGAGCACTGGAGAGTTTTGAAGTGTGACCGAGCACTGGAGAGTTTTAAAGTGTGACCGAGCACTGGAGAGTTTTGAAGTGTGACCGAGCACTGGAGAGTTTTAAAGTGTGACCGAGCACTGGAGAGTTTTGAAGTGTGACCGAGCACTGGAGAGTTTTAAAGTGTGACCGAGCACTGGAGAGTTTTAAAGTGTGACCGAGCACTGGAGAGTTTTGAAGTGTGACCGAGCACTGGAGAGTTTTAAAGTGTGACCGAGCACTGGAGAGTTTTAAAGTGTGACCGAGCACTGGAGAGTTTTAAAGTGTGACCGAGCACTGGAGAGTTTTGAAGTGTGACCGAGCACAGAAGAGTTTTGAAGAGTATCGGATCACATGAACGAGTTGTAGTGTGACCGAGCAGAGGAGTACGTTGGAGAGGGACACAGAACATCAGAGGTTTGCGTTGAAAAGTGACCGAGTACAGGAGTGTGTTTAATATAAGTGTGTTGAAGTGTTTCCGGCTACTGGAGTGTGTTGAAGAAAAACCGAGCACAGAAGTATGTTGAAGAGGAGCCAAGCTCAGAAGTGCGTTAAAGTGTGATTGAGCACAGTGAGGCTGAGCAGAAGAGTGTGTTGAAGTCACAACAGACTCCAGTGCTCGGTCACCAAGCACTGGAGTGTGTTGAAGTTCAACCAGGCAGAGTAGAGTGTTATAGATTGACTGAGCACTGTATTGTGCTGAAGAGTGCCTAGCACACTAGTGTGTTGCAGATTGACCGAGCACTGTAGTGTGCTGAAGAGGGCCTAGCACACTAGTGTGTTGCAGATTGACCGAGCACTGTAGTGTGCTGAAGAGTGCCTAGCACACTAGTGTGTTGCAGATTGACCGAGCAATGTAGTGTGCTGAAGAGTGCCTAGCACACTAGTGTGTTGCAGATTGACCGAGCACTGTAGTATGCTGAAGCGTGCCTAGAACACAAGTGTGTTGTAACGAGACCGAGTACTTGGAGTGTGTTGAAGTGATCAAACACATAAGAATGTGTATGTGTGAGGGAGCACTGGAGTGTGTTGAAGAGAGACTGAGCACTGGAGTGCGTAGAAGAGAGAGACCGAGCACAGGAGTGCGTTGAAGAGAGCTCCACCACAGTTGTATTTTGAAGTGCGACAGAAACATTATTGTGATGAAAAGTGACCGAGCACAGGTGCTTTGAAGTCTGGCCGAGCGCTGGAGGGTGTTGAAGAGAATCGAAACACATGAGTGCGTGGTAGAGAGACTGAGCAGAGGAGTGTGTTGAAGATACAGCGAGCACAAGAGTATGCTCCTGTGCAACATGAGGCATATGGCTGAGCAACATTAGGCATATGAGAGTGCAAAATAAAGCATATAAAAGTGCAACATATAAAATGTTAGAAGGAAATATGACGCACGTTCAAGCACAACATTAGTAACTATGAAAGAACAACATCAATTGAGAATGTTGATAATGGTCCAGGACGGACGGAAACATTGTAGTCCCTTCACCTTCTAGTGTGTGGTCTGGTCAACATACTTCAGCCACGTTATTGTGACTCATCGCCTGCAACAACAACAAAGTAAATTAAAGAGCAACATTCGACACATAAAACAACTTGAGGAATGTTAGAGAGCTGCATGGGGTATATTGTGAAATAGATAAATCATTTTTAAAGACATAATGTGTACAGTAACGTATCTCGTCCACTCCCTCTCACAACCTTCTAATATTGCTCCTGTCCCATGAACCATTCTTGACAATTTTCTAATATGACTTCAGTACGATGTTCATCCAATACTCATGTGAATACTTCTCCACGTTCAGGCAATGAAGTTATTCACCGTATGACGGAGAAAGTTCCCACAGTACTTAGGATTGATGCTGAGGACTTCGAAGGAAACCGAAAGTTTGGAGAGTGGAGAAAATTCAGCATTGCAAATGAAACTGAATTGTAAGTATGAAGCAATTTTATTTTTACCTTAGATCCTTTACTAATGTTTTAAACAGATGTTCCTTCTCCCTCCCCTTCCCCATCCAGATGAAATTACTGGAAGCTGGAGGTGAGATGAATTTAGGCCGTCTATTGTGAAATGTTGATATTTTGGGTGGTTTCTATTAGTACTTACGACAGACTCTTCCTCTCATACTCACAGTGAGATGATTTTACGAGAGCTGTGCTTTTCCAATCGACGTTGGGGTTTCAGCATTGAATAGTCACAATATGAGTATGAAAGGGAGGTTTTCGATTCACGGATAACATAAATCAGGAGGCACTAATTGGGGCACTTCTGGCAACCTCTTTTCAGTGGCTTCTTCTCAAGGGTTTCCTCCAGTGGCTTTTTCTCAGTGGCTTCTGGCGAATCAATCGGGGAAGCCACAGTGTTGACACATGATGTTATAAGGGCCCCTGTCAGATAAGTGTCCAGGTGGACACTTTTATTGTATACTCGCAGTACCCGGCCATGCATTGCTGTGGCTCAGCAACGCATGTGCGTTGCTGAGCCACAGCAACCTTTCCTATCCCCCAGTCCTCCCCACCATTCCCCCCCCCCTGATCCGTCTCCTCGGCCTCCCAACCATTACCCACTCCACCGTCCCCTCGTCCTCCCCACCATTCCCCACTCCACCATCCCCTCTTCCTTCCAATCATGCTCCACTCTCCCTGTCCCTTTGTCCTCCCCACCATTCTCTATTCCCCCCATCCCCTCGTCCCCACCTTCCCAAAGTTCCCTGTCCCCCACGTCCGTCCCCACCATTACCCACTCCCTTGTCCCCTCGTCCTCCCCACCATCTCTCACTTACATCCCCTCGTCATCCCCGCCATTCCCCACTCCCTCGATTCCCAAATGGTCTGACGTTCCCATCAGAAAATTGGGAACATCGAGTGATCTGCTGTTCCCATCACTGATATATAAGAAAAACAGTTACAAAATTAAATGAAAATATGAAAAAATACGAAAAAAAATATACTCACGAAATGAACGGTCTGGTAAACAGCATAGCTCAATTCCAACGCAATTCACACAAAATAATTAAGTCAAAATGAAAATAAATCAAAATCTATGAAAATTCAATTTATCAATGCAATCAGAAACATTGAAATGGAATTGTTACGTATTTAGTATAGCATGTGTTGCTCTTACATACAACAGATGGCGCTGTTTTTCAAGAAAACCAAAGTTTTACATGTTACAGGTCTGGCATCTATACTTATACTTACGAAATGAACGGTATGGTATACAACACAGCTCAATTCCAACACAATGTCACACAAAATAATTCAATTAAAAAAATCGAAATCTATGAAAATAAAATTTATCAATGCAATCGGAAACATTGAATTGGAATTCGTGACATATTTAGTATAGCGTGCATGTTGCCATTATGTGCAACAGATGGCGCTGTTTTTCAAAAACGCATGTTTTTATCTGTCACAGAAGTGGTATCTATATAGTAGGTATATAAAAAGACCCGCCTATTCGAATGCAATGTTGTGTCAAAATTTCAAAACAATTGGTGAAGAACTTTCGGAGATTACAGCGTGTGTTGCTCTTGCGTCCAACAGATGGCTCTGTTTTTCAAAACATATGTTTTTTCCTGTCATAGGTGAGGGATGTATAATAGTAAATATATATAATGTCACGCTTATTTGAATGCAACGTTGTGTCAAAATTTCAAAGCAATCGGTAAAGAGGTTTCGAAGATTTCCCTCACATTAAAAACACATAAAAAGCACACTTTTTCAGAAAAAGCATGTTTTTTTTTTTTACCGTCACAGACGTGACATCTATATAGTATGTATTTATAAACCTGCTCGGATGCGAATGGAATATTGTGTGAAAATTTCAAAGCAATCGGTGAAGAACTTTCGGAGATTAGCGATTTTGAACAAACGAACATTTCCATTTTAATTTATATAGATGTTCTTGTTCTCGTGAGATGAAAATTAAAAAATTAACTCTCTAAAGTTCATTTAAAGTATTATATTGGCTGACGCTAGAAGATGCGTTTCACAGATGAAGTGTATATAAGTTAACTGAAGAAACCAAGATATAATCAAGGAGGATGAAATTAAACTTGCTACAATGCCGTAGGGCTTGAATGAAGGTGAACGAAGACTTACATGTGTAAGTGTATTAACACACAATTTTCGGAAGAAAACCTGCATAGTTTATCAAGGTGCTGTTGGCACTGTTCACTGTTCTGAACATTGTTTACAACACCTTCATGAAGGTCGAAGGTTTCATTCGAAGATTTTGTATTACTACACTTAAACATGATACTGGTTCTTTCCTTGACCTTCATTAAGTGTGATTTTACATGGGATAAAAGTTGTTCTGCAGTTTTCTTTATTCTTATGTTGGCCGGGGCTGTGTGCTGGATATTCCACCTTGGTCTTGAGGATGACAGAATGTAGCTAAGTGCTAGCTGGCTGTTGAAAGTTGGTTGAAACTGTTTGATATGTAGTGTTTCGCCGATGTCTAAATTTCAATTGTCGTTGTATCTATCAATTATTTCAGTGTTAACGGTAAGAATATCTCAGGTATTTATCTACGTATGTGTAGGCAGTTGGGATGACCAGTTGTCTCAAGAAATACAAACAGCCTAGAAAGAGGCGGCTAACTAACAGGCCGTGACAGAGCAGGTCACTTTTCCAAGACAAGTGATCGTGAAGGTGTTACAGTAACATTGAATGTGTTTGCCAACACGTCACGTAGGGCTTACGGTGTGTGCGCATTTGTTTATCACACCACAACAATCTTATTTTGTCGTATCTAAAGGAAGAGGCTCTCCATTGAAGAAAAGATATCTATGACAAATAAAGCTAACAACTACTTGCTTATCAATATATACAAAACAATCCTTGTTGACCAAAGATGTAGAAAATGTAGTTTTATGGTTTGACAATGAATCGGTCTTTCATTGGGTAAGGAATAACAATAATAAAACACCATATGTGAGCCACTGAATCGCAGAGATCAGGGAACTCTCCACAGTCTTCCAGCTTTGACATGTCCGCACTAAGGAAAATCTAGCAGCTTATCTATCTAAATGAATGCCATTTAAACAGTTTTCAGGCCAATATTTGGTATTAAGGACCACAATGATTAGTTAATGGTAACTGGCCAGAACAAAAACCACAGGTCATTGTGACAGTCCATGTCTACCACCGAAGAACGTGTTCAATCACCAGTTAAAGACTGTACTCGTTTATATTCATTAGTAAAATTACTTAAGGTTACCCAACTGGTGTTTCTTTCTCATGAGAAGGGGTATCAAACACACCTTTCAAAGAGTGATGACTTATTGGGTAAGACAAGCCCAAAGGCATACTTATGGAAGAGATTATGGAAACCTCTCCAATAAATTAATTGAAAATCTAGGTCTGTGCATAGACCATAATAACAATGGCATTCTGCATTTCAGAGGAAGAATACAGCACGCAGGTGTTGATCTAGATACTATACTTCCATAACTTTTGCCAGAAATTCATTGGATTACAAAATTAATTGGGCTTTACTTCCATCAGCAACTAACCAAACATGGCGGAGTGTTAGACATACACAACTCGGACAACAGTATTGGATTCCTCAAGGAAGACAGTCTGTTAAAGGAATCTTAAATAATGTATTACTTGTAGTTGGTACGATGATAAATGTTTAACTGTAACCAGGGCTACCCTCAATTCCTAAGGAGAGAGTGGTTCATCTACTTGTATGAAACCATGGGCTTGGACTTTACAGGTACTATTATGCTCAAGGGTACCCAAGATAAAATACCTATGAAAGCATACATCTATTTGTTTAGTAGACGGCATCCTGCAGTCTCATGAGACCATGGAGTTGCACTCTGGTTGACGAGATTGGAGTGTCCTCTACAGGTCGTCCTCCTGCCTGGAAAGGCAGGAGGACGCCCTGTTTTATTATGGTTTTGTTTTATTATTATTTTTGGGTGTTTTATTATTGTTCAGGGTAGGTCGATATGGAGGAGAAGCTAATACCCATGCATCAGGTCTCCCTTTACCACGTTGCTAAAAGTTTCCAATGGAAAGGCAAACGCCAATACGCTTGGTTCCAGCCCCGTCGTAAGAGCTGCCAGAACGAAGGTAAAGTCAACAACGCCTTAGGGGTTCCAATACCGGATTTTTCTCGAGGTTGACTCCTGAAATCCGGCCCAAAAGTGGGAAAGGCAGCGAGGCAGCGGAGGTTTGAAGTTTGGGCTTTCCTTCCCCTAGATGATCGGTCTTCCATGGCTGTCGAGTCCCATCTACCCGGAGCAGCTGGTTGCAGGGCTCCAGAGGCACGAGCCCTACAACATGAATAGTGACAGTTCAGTCTACGGAAATTATTTTCCTGAAGACGTTGTAAGAGAAAGACCCTTGAGAGGTCACGAGATTGGAAGCCGTGCATAATATACATACACATAATCTACATGGTAAATGCCCCAACTTTTCCTAATGAATCAACTCATAAAGTGATCAGAAAATGAAATAACAAATAAAATATGAAAAAAGTGTAAAAGTTTCACAATTTAAAATTTATTATTCTTATTTAATATGTCACCAAGTTTTATTTAATTCATTATATGCACAGAATGGCATATGACGCTCATTTTATATTATAGAAAATTATAGTTTAGAGTATAGTTCACTGTAAAAAAAATAGTCAATGTGGCCTTCAAAATATGTGCAAAATTTAGACAAAAATTTTTCCTTGAATAAATGAACTAATGGTAACCTTTGAACTAAGAACTTTGCACATAATACGTAAAAATGGTGATAATCGCTCAGAAACTGAATTATTTTCTCAGTTTCAGAGTAAAAAGTCCTGTCCATTCAGAAAAATGAAGGTAAACTTCTCAAGTATAAATATAGTAGTTCGAATTGGTCATATCTTTAAGTTTTAATAAATATTGCTTGGCATTCGTTCTCGAATATGTGAAAGTTGTAGA